CTCACTAATGCGCCTGCAGCCTCTCGGAGTTCCTGCTGCTCTAAACATTAAAATAATTATTTCATTTTCTGTTCCTCACTTCTGATTACCTTCAGTGGTGTCTGTTTGTTGCAACCAGCAGGTACAAAAACTAACTTGTTTTTATTTGACTATTTTTCTGTCCTGCCTGTTTATTATCTTCCTGCATCTCCTCTCAGTCCTAAAGAAAAACTGCTACCTGGGTTCATATATATTCACCTCATGAGTTACCTTTGAACTGCAGTTCTAAAAGATCTACCGACCGCAAAAACAGCGGAGTGCGCGCTGCTTGGCGGCCGCATCAGTGATCGGTGCGTCACCGAGGACAAAACAGGTGATGTGCTCCGCTCCACGCATCAGGCACAAATAAAAGACAGAAAACATAAAAGGAAATGAGCCGACATGAACGATCGGGTGTTAAATTAGTTTTTGAGGTGGCGACACCTGATTTGATAATGTTACTGTGGCCGTACTCAGGAGCACCTCAATGATCAGAGCTTTGCATGCGCAAGCTGGTTAAGGTTAGGATGGGGGTGAGGGGAAGGTTAAATTGCAAGAGGGTAAAGGTCACAATTCGGTCAAATGTCCGTTTTACCGCGGGCGTCAGATACAGACAGTCTGGAACAGCACATCGGTATCTGACGCGCAGGGGCTCGTCACCTGCTGTCTTTTCCGAGGACTGCATCTTGTCGGTCTTTATCACGTGACAGCGACTAGTCGATGACAGGCATAAAAAGTCACTATAGTGAAGTTGACTAGTGACTAGTTCATACAACCCCTAGTGGGTGGTAGGGGTTGTATGAACTAGTCAACTAGTCAACTTCACCGCTCTATAGTGACTTTTTATGCCTGTCATCGACTAGTCGCTGTCACGTGATAATAAGATGCAGTCCATGGAAAAGACAGCAGCCTGCTGCAGGGCCGGCTTTGGCGACAGGCGACACAGGCGGCTGCCTGGGGCGCCATCTGATGGATAGGGCGCAAAATAAAAAAAAATAAAAAAAGAAGTTTATTAAATTTATGTTTGTAATATGAAATGCACTCTCTACATACTCAAAATTCCCCTCTGAAATGACATGAAATTAAAACATTAATATTTAAATTCTAATGATCTGGCTGCATGACGAGCTCCCGCTTGAGCCACCGCTCGATGCATTTGACCGTTAAGGGCGCCGTAGATCACGTGTGGGTGGCACTGTAGGACATCCTGTTGTTGTCGCGTTTAAACGTTTGATATTTTACGATGAAAAGAACACCTAAGCCATCGGGATCAGCATTCCCAAAGCGAAGGAAGGAGGAAGAATAAAAACGGGCCCAAAGCAGAGGTATGTAGACTTTATACATTTGGCAAAGGAACATTTTGCGTTAGCATTGTAGCTAACTGCCTCTCCTGCCATGCACGGTCCACGGACGGACCCTCGCTAGCTGTTTACACACACAATACAGTATCTGTAACTTTAGCCCATTCATTTTACTTCTGAATCGTCGTGTCCAGATGCAGTGAGACAATATCTGCAGCCACATCTGTGGACACCACGGGGGCGGGGCTGTCTTCTACACCTGTTGACACCACGGGGGCGGGGCTGTCTTCTACACCTGTTGACACCACGGGGGCGGGGCTGTCTTCTACACCTGTTGACACCACGGGGGCGGGGCTGTCTTCTACACCTGTTGAGTCTCACTGTGATGATGAAGAATGTAAGATTATTTACTGTTTTTTGGAGCATGATTGCAGCCTTTTATGAACTTCCATTCAAGTTTTAAGTACGCATACAATATGAATATAATATTTTCATATCAGAAGAACGTTAGGTGTGGGTGTAGCAAAATTTCAACTTTGTCCAACACATCGGGCGGGCGGCACCACCGTGGCCGTGGCGGGGACTCCCCCGCTGACCGGCTGCAGCGGGGGAGTCCCCGCTGTCCCGCGTCGGCGTTTCCTTGTTTAATAAATGAAATCCTCAGAGTGCCTCAGATCACCGGTTCTTCTTCCTCGTATTCTACATTTTATTTGATGCTGAAGAGCACCTGAGAGTGAGACATAAGTTTTTCAAATATTCCCCATGGACGCGCTCACTTTCACCTGTTTTTCATAATTGTATTCATGTTTTCACAAAACAGATTAAAAAAGATCAATAAAATAAAAAGTCCAGTAAGATTAAAAATAATGAAAAGCATCACTGCACATGACTGAAGAATACTGAACATGAAAGTGGCACTGTTCTTAATTCATGCATCAGAGGGTTAAGTTGCTTTGTGTGTGTGTGTGTGTGTGTGTGTGTGTGTGTGTGTGTGTGTGTGTGTGTGTGTGTGTGTGTGCGTGTGTGTATGCGTGCGTGTGTGTGTATGAGCTGCTGGCCCCATGGATCCTGCTGATTGGCCACAGCAGTAGAACAAAATGGAAAGTAGAACTTTCTTTATGAGGACACTTTGATATTTGAGTTTTGCTTTTGATTTAGTATCCCCCCCCCCCCCCCCCCCATGCCATTTGCACAACATTTTGAGTTGTCGGTTATTGTAATATTCCCAGGTTACTTATCTTTCAAGCTTACATTTATTCTTCAGGCTGTTGACTTTACAGAGTTGCTGTGTGAATATTTAAAATAAAAATTAGTAACTAAGGAATAACTGTGGAGTTGCTTTTTCCAATGTGTGGACTTGGGTTTGGGTGAGAGGCGTGCGTGCGGGGGGGGGGGGGGGGCAAATGGGCAGTCTCGCCTTGGGCACCAAATTACCTAGAGCTGGCCCTGGCCTGCTGTCAGCAGGTGACAAGCTCCAGCGCGTCGGGAGGCAACGCGCTGTGCCAGAGCGTCGGTACTGACACCCGGCATAAAACGGACATTTAACCAAACTGTGACGTTTACCCTCTTGCAATTTAGCATTCCCCTCACCCCCATCCTAACCTTAACCAGCTTGCACATGCAAAGCTCTGATTGTTGAGGCACTCCAGACATCTGCGTCCTGAGCACGGCCACAAATCAGGTGTCGCCACCTCAAAAACTAATTTAACACACGATCGTTCTTGTCGGCTCATTTCCTTTTATGTTTTCTGTCTTTTATTCTATTATTTGTGCCTGATGCGTTTCGCTGCTGTGGATCGGGGCGCATCACCTGTTTTGTCCTCCGGTGACGCACCTAACTTACCCCAAAATTCCACTATCTGCGCTCCGCCCCCGCTTTCCGCTGCCGCTCGCTTCGCGGCCAGCGAGCGCTCCGCTGTTTTAGCGGTCGGTAGATCTTTTAGAACTGCAGTTCAAAGGTAACTCATGAGGTGAATATATATGAACCCAGGTAGCAGTTTTTCTTTAGGATTGAGAGGAGATGCAGGAAGATAATAAACAGACAGGACAGAAAAATAGTCAAATAAAAACAAGTTAGGCCTAGTCCACACGTAGCCGGGTTTTTCTTAAAAACGAATATCCGCCCCTCCAAAAACTTGCATCCACACCACCTCGTTTAAAAGAAAACTCTGTCCACACGTACCCGGATAAATACGTTGTTAAGGACATGCCAGACCTGTAGGCGGCAGTACTTCCCCCGTTCTTAACCTCGTCCTTCGTCTGTGGTCTTCCGCAAGGAGCAGTAATTCCGCTTGCAAAAACAAACAAGCAGAAAGTGCTTGGACCATTGATAAAGCGAGCGCAGCTCTGAGGGCATCCATGCTGTCGGCTAGTGTAAACACAGGTCGCACACGTGATGTCAGCATTTTTTTGTCGCGGAAAGTGACGTTGCGGACCTTAAAACTCCGGTTTTGTCCGTCCACACGCAGACACCCAAAATGGAGAAAACGCAGATCTTCACTTTGGCCGGAGTTTTTAAAAAGATCCGTTTTCGTGTGAAAAATCTCCGTTTTCGTGTGGATGACAGGCCAAAACGTAGAAAAATATCTACGTTTTGGCAGATCCCCGGCTACGTGTGGACAGGGCCTGAATCCCAGTTACCATCTTTCTGCCGCTGGGCAGCTATTTGTGAGTTGGTGTTCTCCTCCTTCTGAGCTCGGTCTCTTTGGGCCAAAGTCTGGGTCTAATACTGAAAACACATGAAAGAGCGAGTTCACTGAGAAACCATTTTTCATGATCAGTCACTCAGAGTTTGAAATGTAGGCTGATGGAGAAGCAGTCCCCTATCTCCTGAACTGAGAAGATAGATGGAAACGCTTGGATTCGTCACACTGTAGATTATCATTCATCTTGGTTTGTGACGGGGAAGGCTGTTGTTAGAAACAGCAGAAAACATCTTGGCTAGTAGAAGCTAACTGTCAGTGATAGAGAAAAATTGGTTTTGCTGACATTACTGCTTAAAATCATAGCTGCCTTATTAGTAAAACACCTGTTGCTTCATTAAAATGCAACCTTTCCCGTCTCCGTTTTCATGTGGATGACAGGCCAAAACGTAGAAAATTATCTACGTTTTGGCAGATCCCCGGCTACGTGTGGACAGGGCCTTAGTGTTTGTACCTGCTGGTTGCAACAAACAGACACCATTGAAGGTAATCAGAAGTGAGGAACAGAAAATGAAATAATTATTTTAATGTTTAGAGCAGCAGGAACTCCGAGAAGCTGCAGGCGCATCAGTGAGTTTGTGGCCGCTGCATGGGGGAGGGGGGAGAGGGCTGAAGCAGAAACTACCGTTGTTAAAAGAAATGTGTTTAACTTTGAAAATGTGTACGCAATTTTAATTGTCAACAACTCCAGCGATCCAACCCCCCCCCCCCCGTGCGCGCCGCTTCAGGTGTATGACGTCATCAACAACTAGTCGAAGTCGACTCAATTTTCATTACTTGACTGTCGACTTAAAAAAAAATTAAGTCATGCAACCCCTGCCACCCACTGTGCAGGGGTGGAACGAACTTTATTTGAGACCCTGGTTTTCTAATGCGCATGTAAACTCACCTTATTACAATGAGATCGACCTGATGCCAGTAAGTGTGCATGTGACCACAATGACTGAATAAACCGCAAACGTAAAAGATTGTCACAAAATGAACAAAAGTGTGTTTTATTGATAAATAATAAAGAAAAACCAACCAAAAAGACTTCGTCTGTAATGTCCAGGTATATGTTCTACAAAAGGTGAGTCATGGCTCATGGTGGCACAGAATGAGTATGCACATGCTTGTACACATACGGATCATCTCTCCAGCATGTTCATCTAATCAACCATTTTCCTCTGGAATAATGTCTTCACGGCTTCAGTCCACTTGCTTCTTCTTTCTGCCTTTTACAAACAGGTTCATTTGCATTCTTCACAGACCCAGTTCTCATGCTCCCTACACTTGGCACAGGTGTACCTGTGACACTTCACACAGCAAAACCTGCTGCGATTTCTGTTGCAGTTCTTCCGGACCTGACACTGCGTTGTCCAGTTGGGTAGATTGTGCAGCGCAGCAGCGGCAGCAGTGGCGGCAGTAGTGTCAGCGGCGGCAGCAGAAGCCTTTTCCCGCATGAATCCACTTCGGAGTTCCATGGCTAGATGGTGCAGAAAGAGTCTCCTTGTGTCTGTGGACCCTGTGCATGCCTTGTAGAGCACATAGGCATTTGCTGCCGCCAGGTCCAGCATGTTATAAAATACCGCTACTGGCCACCTGCGTGTTGCTGTGCGTACGGAGTATTTACGAGCCACTTGTTCCGCATCATCGCCACCAGACTGTAAAACAACACAGAGACATGAGTATATGTACTTTATTTCCAAACAACAGCTGTAAACTAGATAATAATTATATTCATCACGTACCTTCATATAGTTGTAGTCTGTTATTGTGTTTGGTTTGTTCTTCCCGTCATCCCCGGTCACCACGTGTTGGTGCATGGAGCTCAGAACAAACACCGTTTTCTTTTTTGTTGGAGCGTAGACCGTCAGTGAGACACTGCCGCTTTTAAACACAGACGTGGAGAATTGTTCTCGCGCCGCGGCGTCCCTTGCTGGAGGTGGAAGCTCGCGTCGACCTTTAGTCATTGTTCCGAGAAGGGTGGTGTTGCGCTGAAGCAGTCGGTGCGCCAGTGAGAGCGATGTGAAAAAGCTGTCTGTAGTGACATTCCTGCCGGCATCAAGAAATGGCTCCACGAGGCGCATTGCAACCTTTTCTGACAACTCACCACGGGGGCGACTGGGATCCTTGCCTAAGTAAGGCACAGCATTGCAGACATACTTTGTCTCTAAATCTGTGGCCATCCAGAATTCAATACCAACTTTGTTGGGCTTGCCAGTGACTAACTTTGTAAATGGACAGTGGACCTTTGTTGGAAAAAGCTGTCTGTCCACTGTAATGTGTTGTCCTGGGCTGAAGCTTGCTGCACAGTTTTTAGTGAAGCGTGACCAGACGTCTGACATTGCTGCAAACTTGTCCGTTTTCACGCGTTCTGCACGGGTGTCCTTGGTGTCGAATCGAAGGTTTGCCATGATTGAAGTGAAGCGGTCCCTGGACATTGTTTCCTTGACTGCTGGTATCAGAAAGTTTTCTGACCAGCAATCCACCATGGCACCAACTTGACACATGACTGCTTTGGCAAACAGAACAGATATGAAAGCCATCAGTTCATTGTGGGACAGGTTCCAGTTGGGGTCGGTTCTGCGGGCTTGCTGGACCGTGCACTCCCTGATGGTCAGCAGCATCCCGATGTCAATCAGGCACAGGAAGCTTTGCAACACACTGCAGACTTTACGCTGTGAGACGATAAACAGATGATGGTAAATTGACTTGAATCCCGTCGACTGTGGTTTATGTTGTGATTACTTAACTTGGTGTTGCGACATAATCCCTCCTGCTCAACTCATCCCCCAGCCTACTAGCTACCTTGATGCTACGATTACAAAGTGCTACACAATTATAGCTGACATCTACAATCGCTCCATACTTTACATCAAGAGCTTGTGCAGGCCTTCAGCGCCACTGTTCTCTTGCTGTTGTTGTGCAAACACACTCATTACTAGTGAACTTTGCCACATCTGCATTTATTTACTGAAATTGCCAGCTCAAATCCATAGAGTGTGACCCAAACTTATGTGTGTGACATGGAAACGTCGCGAAGTTCTTCCATATTCAAACACAATTTCACACACTCTCTATTTGCGCTAATTTTAAATAGAGATCAGGAAACAAAGAGGAGTTGAGAGCGTTCTGCAGCAGCATCGGGCGGGAGGTGATGGTTTTATTTGCTGGAGGTCGTCTGTGTCCCACTGTCTGCACTGGGTCAGAGATAAGGGGAGCAAGGGAGACTGGGTTGGGGGAGGGGTATGTGTCTGATCCAACCTGGTTCCGCTCATTCACCCACCCTACTAGCCTGGCAAGTCAGACTAAATAAATGTATTATTACAAACTTTGCAAAGCAATAATTTGGTCTAGTTCGCTAGGCTACCACCTAGAGGTGGGAAAAATTATCGATTCTAAGATGCATCGCGATTCAGCCGTGCATGATTCCGCATCGATGCAGCAACGTGACATAAGTGACATAAGTTCTATGTCTATGTCGGGGGTCGGCAACCGCGGCTCTGGAGCCGCGTGCGGCTCTTCCATCCATCTGATGCGGCTCTCTGTGCTTGTAAAATAACGAATGGATATTTAAATAAAATGCTTTATATTTTACTGCATAAATTTTACATCTGTATGCTAATTCTAAATATAAAGATTGTCTGCGTAAACCTGAACGGGTCCAACCCAGTCTTACTGTGAGACCGGGTTGACGCATCACGCTTGTGCGTAATCATATAGGCGCATTCTGAGCTGACGAGGATGTGAAATTCTGGGATTCTCCTCAGCTCCTGGATGTGTCGCCACATTGGAGACAGGAACAAGCACTATTCAGCCAAAGTTTCATAATCAGGGAGCATTTTCTATGTGACAAGTCTCGCTTCAGTCGGAGGAATCTTCCTGCATGCGCCCTGGTTCTGTGACGTGCTCCAAGCCCCTCTCCACAACTTCAGCTCGCTGTGCGCTGTACGTACGCGCTGACAGCGAGCTGCGCTGAGCTCAGTGTCCAGCTCAGAAGGGAATAATTTCTTAAGTGATTTAGCTACATCTGCGCGAAACGAATAAAGTGTCAGTTTGTCTGCATGCGTCGGGGTAATTCTTTCTATTCTTTCTCCGTCAAAATAAACGGTCAAATACGGGAACTATCCGGTCAACACAAGCCCTGCTTTTAACTGTTCTGTTTTCTTGTGAAAATTGTTGCAAAGAGATATAATTTAACTTGATTACCACCAGAGCCAGGCGCACTGCACCGTTATCTCCGTCGCTGTAAATGAGGGAAAAACAAAATGATCGGATCCTTTTCTGACCTTCCCCACCTACAAAGTTTAATTACAACAATCAAACGTGACAGAGCCTGGATTTGTATTCTGAACAGTCTAAACATGTTTTAAAAAGAAACGTATGACAAAAGTGGCGCCTGCTCAGTAAAACCACCAACAGGGTGAAAAATATCTAAATGTTGTCGGCAGAGACGGGCTACAACTTCTGGATCCACTTTATATAAATCGTTTTATTGATTATCGTCTTATGAAAGATAACTCTGACGTACACGAGCGACCGGTACCGGCTGCTGTCACCTGTTGTGAGCAGCGCTCTGCTGTCTGAAGCTAGGCCCCGCCCACAACGCCGTGGCTGCTGTGGCTCCCAGTGTTTTCTTTACTGTGGGAAACGGGTAATAATGGCTCTTTGATGGGAACAGGTTGTCGACCCCTGGTCTATGTCTATGCAAGACAATAAAGTTTTGAGGTTTTATAATTACTTCTGGGGGCAGAGTTGCAATGACATGCATACTGCGTTGCCCTAGCGCCAATGTAAAACAGAAAAGGCGGACAGGGGTACAGGGCCAACATTACCAGTAATCAAAGATGAACCCGTTACATTTAAATCGGATGTCTGGGCTAATTTCGGTTTTGGGATCCTGGATGTGAAAGAATCACTTAACACAGTATTTGTTTACTATTTTTAAGTTCAGTAGTATTCTATCTTAAAGCTGCTCTATACCAAAAACATTATTTCTTATATTATTTAAGTAATTATAGGCAGCACACTTTAAACATTACTGCTCACTATAGTGAATAGATGAATGTTCTGTTTTTCAGGGATTTCGAAATCAAAAAGAAATTGAAACTATTCTTCTGCTTTTATTAAGTAATGAAAATTTTTGTGTGAAGAATCGTGATGCATTTCAGACTCGAATCGAATCGTTAGGCAGATAATCGGAATCGGATCGAATCGTGAGGCAGGTAGAGATGCACACCACTACTACCACCCTACAGCTCCTACAGCCTCACTTTTCCAAATCTCATATGTGTGGTTCTGCTGAAATCCTTCTGCACAGCTCTCAACATAGTGGTGCAATGAAATACCTTTGCATACTCTGTGGGTCCAGCTCTGCCAGTGAAGGATGAGCCATGAACTTCTTCAGATTGACGTCTGGCCTCTTGCTGCACCCAGACAGAGCCATCTCTTGCCGTAAAACTTGAACCGGCCTCGTTCATCCCCGTACCACGGTTCTTCTTTCGTGGAGGGCTGGTGTCATCTTCTTCCACTTCGGATTCCAAGTCTTTGTCAGATGATGGATCTGAGACATCGGTGGTGAATGAAACCTCTCCACCATCAGATTCAACGTCAGCCACTTTCTGCATCAGGGCAGAGGAATCTTTTGTGGCGTAGCTTTTCCAGCGAAAGGGCATTCTGGTGGTCTTCTTCAGGACTCACAAGGAGAAATGACTCTTTCTCCTCTGTGGTCTTGTTTTTGATGCACAGCTCTGTAGTGAAGTGTTCAGTCAAATGTAAATTTGCCAGTGGGTCCACGTGTGATTGGTGTGCTTGCACAACAATGGCAGAATAAGCACCGCCCCAGGGGGTCAGGGCAGGCAAGGGATTTTACAAAAAAATGCATTGGTTCAGTAAAACTAGGGTTAAAAACAAACGAAACTCTGCTCTGCTGCAGCTTTTCCGGCTTTTCCTTGTTGAAACCTGACAGCGATTTTGTTGCCTTCCTGGAGGGAGAATAAACATTCTTTCCAAAGAGAACACAGCTGTTTCTACAGATTTACTAGAAAGTGTATAAACAACTACTCCTCTTTCTTGTCAGGCAAACATTTACGGATGAAAGGATGAATAATCGGAAGGTTTTAGTAAGATCATGAGACCTGCTTTTGTCTGATCTGAAAAGGTCTGGAAGTCTTTTTTGCTTCATCCTGCCAGCTGAACCAAACTATCTTAGAATAATTGACATAAGCCTCATATTTATTTGGAAATATGATTGAGAAAATTCCTTCTTTTCTCCTTAATACTAGATTTACTGAGCCCGCGCAAATTTGTGCAAAATCAGGCTCCAGGCTCCCCTGGCTTGCTCAATTGTCCTTCTTTTGTTTTGCTGATGAGCCACTAAGCAAGGGTGCAGGTTGGTTCTGCAAGGGCAACATGATTTGCACTTGGAAGCCAGGGTAAACCTGGGGGGAGGATTTTTGTATCACTGAATGTGTATAAAGGCACATCTCAGACATCTGGAAATGCTTCATCAAGAACTGTGCTGACAGTTTCACCCCAGGACGACACGTGACCATAGATGAACAGCTGTTCCCTACAAAGGTTCGTTGTCCATTCACCCAGTATATTGCAACCAAGCCGGACAAATCTGGGATCAAGTTCTGGGTAGCCACGGATTTGGACGCCTGCAATGCAGCACCTTACTTGGGAAAGGATCCGAGTCGTCTGAAGGGGGAACGGCTGGAAGAACATGTGGACATGAAACTCATGGAGCCATTTCTTGATGCTGGGAGAAATGTAACTACGGATGATTTCTTCACCTCACTGGCACTGTCACAGAGACTGCTTCAGCACAAAACAACCATACTGGGCACCATAAATAAAGTTAGCCGTGAACTTCCTCAGCATGCTAAACACACAGCACAACGTCAGGTATTCTCCACTTCTGTCCTTAGTAGTGGAGGTGTCTCTTTGACAATTTATGCACCAAAAAAAAAAAAAAAACTGTGTGTGTGCTGAGTTCATGTCACCGAGCTGTTACAATCGAAGCTGGCACAAAGAGAAGGCCCAACACAAT